ACGTTTAGCTTGTTTTTGACTCTTGATATGGAGTCTCTGATTCTTTACAGGGAAAGTGAAGAAACTAAGAAACAGTTTTAACTTTCATTTAGATGCACAGAAACAGACACATTCTAATTCTTTCAAAAACAGTGTACCATTTTGCTGCCCACTGGAAAACAATAAGCAGAGAAGCATATTTTTAAAACATGCAAAATATAACAAAATTAAACAATGTGTTCTGATTAATTCTTTATTTTCAACATCAAATACATTGATAAAAATCTTGCACCAATCAGATAGCCTACCAGATTTTTTATTTAGACTTCTTTAGAACTTTTTTAGGTGCAAAACAAAGAAAAAGATACCTCACCAAAACCAAAGACGTCAATAATTTCATATGCATCAGTGAAAGAACAGAATACTTCAACAAATACATTATGACAGCTGAGCCTATACCAAAGAAAGGACTTTGCATTGACAGACTACATAGTGCACACAAAAGCATTTGTTTCATAGTACATACAATAAGGTAATACATAAAGTGGCTTGATAATGCAAGTCTCGTGACCAGCAGTCTATCCCTTCCTTTTTCAATGGGCACTTTCTGAAGAAACAGACTTCTAATCATAGGCACACAGGATTGCAGAATTTTCTAATTTGCAAGATGGCAGCATATATGTTTTTCTAAATTTTTGTTTATTTATTTTCTTTAGGCACATTTGAATGCAAAAGAATTTAATACGTCTCTAACACAGTGCAAAACCAAATACCCTTTATGGGCAACAATCATTTTGAAAATAACCTTCAGGATATAAGGCTACCTACACTTGTAGGATGAAAGGGAACCGTGAGTAGAAAGAATAGGACATTAATATTGGGAAAACATCAATTTTAAACTCTGAGATCAATTTGAGATTATGCTACACTTGCAGGTGACAGCAAAGATTGGTTTGTATTAGGATACCATTGTTAACATCATCCTTCTATTACATGTGTTGACTTAATATCTGTAAAGCCATATCACGGTTGTAGATAGCATTGAAAACATCAATCTCTTTATTCAAAGTAAAAAATGCACTTCACACAAATTCAGCTGAGAATGCCTTATATACAAAACCCATTATCTGTAGGTTGAGTTGCACTCTAATTTTAAAGCAGGAAATCATATACACAGAGGGGCTTGCATGTTCTTACTAAGCCTGTAATAAGACTAAAGACCTACTGAGGCAGATTTTTTATTTTGTTGGCAGTTTGCTTATTTTTAAACATTTGGCACAGGTCTTAAGGAATTAGTTGCCATCAACTGAAATGGATGGAGGCTCCAGTACAAATCCTGATTCTTATGAAGGGGATGGTTTGGGTTTTTTTGCTTGCTTTTTTTCAACTCAAGGTCCAGTGATCTGCTGACAGTCCTTGCAATATCCTTGGGAGCTCAGTTTGGATTATTTCTTTAATTACACTTTTAAACCCCTCATTGTAGAGAAGGAGAAAAATCATCAAGTGATGTCACTGAAACATAATAGTAAATTTATCACAACACACACCAATAAACTTTCATTAAACTATGTTACCCGAGTACAAATCTTACTACCCCAATTGGGAGTTTTACCTGAGACAAAGTCTGCAACATTGAGACATGGCTCAAACCACTATAAACCAGAGTAGCTTTCACATATTAAAACACCACATATTCTGACACCACTAAGTGCTACACATCTCCCTATCTCCTCTTCTACCTCCCAAGCTTTTTGCAATATTTCAGTAACAACCATGTTCTCAAGCAAAGCAAATTCATCTGGTCTATTTATGTTTGCCTTGTGCTGGTATTACATTGCCTATGTTTCTAGAGGGTTTCTTTGTTTTTTGATGTTTTTGTTTTTTTTAAAAAATCCATGTATAAACCTTACAAAATAATTATTTTGTTAGCTGTCCAGAGACATCACTATGAATGTTTTGGTAAAAGCATAATTAGCTGCCTTGAAAAGTTTTCTTTCATTTTTTTTACATGCTAAATATTTTTATGTAATATCCAGCACCAGATATTCAGGTAGTACTGGTTTGTCAGCTGCAAATATAAAGTATATATGTATATATATATATACACACACATAAAATAGCATCTTGTGAAATAACAATTACCAAATGTCAGGCACAATTGTTTGCATACATGAGAGTATCATTCAGAATTACATATGAAAAAAGTGATTTTTGTATCATTGACTTTATTTAATCAATTGAATAGCTACATTCATCTGTCTGATATGGGGGCCATCTTTATAGATAACTCTGGGAATGTTAATATATTCATTAAGGTGCTGCTTCAATAAAAAGTTAATGACATGGATCCTAAATCTGCCCCGAGGTAAATTAATGTATTACTGGGAATCACTGTTTCTAGGCTGCCCTTCACTGTTGCCACCACAAACATGAGAGGACTGAATGAAAGCTAAATTACTTCCTTGCAAGGCCTGAACCCAGGAAAGAATTAATAATTATTGTGAGCTGACTGATATTATTCTGTACATTCCAAGACACATTATGATACCCTTCTGACTGCTGCGTACCACTTCAAATCATGCCTTTCCATCTTCACTAGGAAAATCTCATGAGAGTAAAGGTACCTTCCCTTTATGGTACCATCCAAATCTGACCCTCTGTTGTAAATTGCTCTCTGTACTACCTTTTATGCTCCAGGTCAAATTTACACTTGAATCAATGTAATGACTTATTCTGGGATGTAGGAAGGGAGGCATTCATTTAAACCAATTTGTTTTCCAGCTTATGAGCTTGATCTGTGTGTTCTAGCCTAGACAACAACAAGTTGCATGTACAGACAGTATTTAAAGAGCAGCTTTAATGCACACTGGGCTACAAGTAAATGATGACAGTATAAGCACTTGAATTTAACTACAGGGATTCCTGTGCTCCATTCAGATCTTAGCCTGCACTCATTTCAGTAAACTCATGGTTTTTCTAACACATATGAAAACCAGTCACTAAAAAACCCAAAATTTCCATTTTCTTTCATGACATTTAGGAGCCCTCAAAAAGCCCTTATGTACCAAATAAGCGCTCACACACACACACACATACACACACACACATGCTTTTACTGAACACACAAAAAGACAAAATCTTCAGCACATCCAGGAAAAAATGACACCATAATATGCATCAAGAAAAGGCCTATGAACTTACGGTGATTGCTTCACATGTTGAGGCTTGCAGTTTTCAAGGAATCTTCTCAAACATTGGTAGCATGTAGCTTTAGGCTTTCAAACTGCTCATATCCTCAGATATGTACATTGAACTATTATAGACACCATTATGTACATTCATAAAGAATTGAATGCTTGACTTGAAGCACAAACCTGTCCTATGCCTTGCTGCCTTCACAACTGCTGTGAAACTTGATCTCACTGCACACAGACTCTGCCTGTGTGACAGGGAGAGTAATTAGACATAGGCACTCCTGTATGGCATTACTTGTACTGTTTCCTATATTGAGTTTCTACGGGATATTCCAATCAACATAAAGGTTTCAACTATAGCAAAAACATCCCTGAACCATTTCACTAGCACTGTTGCCAGCTGCTGTGGAGCAGCCTACGCATGTGCTAAGAAAACAGCCTCACTGGTAGGGTGGTTTCTTCCAACCAGCTGTTGGAATAGTCCCTGGTCCGTGCTAACTCCCAGTCTGCACCTGTCAGTCAGAAGTGCAGATAGCACAGGCAAAGTTTATCATTACTTTAGTAAAATAACCCTGGCATATGTATTAATCTCATTCCAGTACCCAGCAAAGTTCCCTGACATTTAATTTGCTAGCATAGAGCCAGTCAAAGAGCAGCACCAACTCCTACTTTGGATAGCATATCATGTGGAGTTCTTCAGTCTCTTTCATGTCTTGTTGAAACTCTTGATGTCAGTGGACCTTTTGTATATTTACAGTTGGTCTGAAGAATCAAACTGATCCTATGAATATCCTTAGGAGCTACAGACATGCATGGAGAAAGATTCATCTTTCTGGACATGCAGTCCCAAAGTCTACACCATGTGTGAGGCTCATTGCCTAGTGCTGGTGTCACAGGTGAGCTGGCTCTTAACAGTGATTTTGAAGCACGCCACAACAAGAGCCAAAGAATGCCAAGGCAAGGAAAAACCTGCTGCTCTGACTGTGATACTAGCCCTCCCACACACAGTTAGACCACACTCTGCTGAGTGTGAGGATCATGCCATCCTTCCATGCCAGTCTCACACTAGCATCCTCACCCCTTGCTTTGTAGCACAACAAAGCACAGGATAGGGGGAGGGATTTTTTGTAAATAGTGCTGAATCCTGCATGTGTGTGAAGACCATTTTAAAGACCTGATGATTTTTGTAATCATCTGGTCTGATTCAAAGTAATTCTCTATGTTATCACTGTTTGCCATGTTGCCCTGGATTTACACTCTTGGGCAACAAAACTATTTAGCTTTCTAGGATGAGACAAAATAGCATGCATGCAAAGCAATTCATCTAGAGGATATGGTAAGGGTACCTAAAAGTTTGGTCAGAATGAAGTTGAAAGGGAGTTGTCTGGTGATGTAAGCCAGCAAGGTAAAATACTATAATTCTCAGACAGCAGTTCCTTTGTACTGTAGGAAGAAAAGAGGCAGGAATCTCACTAGACTACCACGGCAGTCTCTCACAGAGCAGCTTCCCTATGGCACACTAAGATGCCAGTCAACCTTCTCTTTACACTGCCCAAAAAGTCATCTAGAATCTCTACCAAACTGCTTCAAAGTTTCAAGCAAGTAAAGGACTAAGTGAGTTCAGGATTTTGGATGGATAATAACAAAGACCAGCACTCATGAAGATACCAATATGCATGGGTGGTATGGCCTATCAATTTATAGTAAAATGAATGTATGCTTCAGACGAGGACTTAGTTACCCAAATAACATGCAAAATTAAATTAAAACACTGCAAATTTTAAATCAAGTTAGCCAGACAATCCTTGCTGGCTGTCCATGGCAATGAAATGTCTTTCATTTAGGATAAGCAATCAGTTTAGGCAAGCGCTTGACAAACACTCATATGGAAAATGCTGGTGTCTGTTGTCACTGGAGTGTTTTCAAAGGTGGCACTGCAGATGAAATGAAGCATGAGCTAGGTAGAACACTGCTGGGTTTCTCATACCACTGTATATGCTGACTCCCGTTTACATTGTATTCTGCATATTCTCCTCTTCTTTGCTGCTTACATAGAAAGACTGCAAGGAATGAGATGAAGCTGATGCAGTTGTCAGCTGGCTTTTGTTCTCCTCCTCCACGGGTGCAGCACTCCTGGCTGCTGGGGCATGCAGCCGGTGAGCGTCCAGCATCTCCAGCAAGAGATCGTAGAGTGGAACTACGTTCTTACACTTCATGTTGTACAGGTGCTCCATTCCTTTGTTGCTGTGGGTTGTGATGAAAAAAGTTACTTTCCAAACATGTTATGGGGCGGGGCAGGGAAGCTACCAGCTAATATTTGCTGGGATCATATAAATCCTGTCTTGTACTCAACAACTTAGCAGTGCATTTGCTGTACACATCTGCTACAGTTAAGCAGACAGCAGCACCTTCAAAGAATTTTGGAGACAGATGTAGCCAAGAATGTAGCAGGCTGCTATACATCTAGAATTTCCTTAATTGTACAAATTCTTTTTAAGGTTGGGGGGGGCGGGGGAGGGGAAGGTTCATTAACACAAGAACAAAGAAACTATAAAATGACACAAGTTAAAAAACCCACATCTCTTGACTTTCCCTCAAAGATCTGTGTATCAGTTCTGGAGGTAAAATCTGCATGTTTCAGCTTTAGTAGCTATGATGTGGTGTTTAATTTAAATTTCATTAGCTGAAATAATGAAAATTAAAATCTGTGTAGCAACACTTCCTGTGGTTTCATAATAATAAAATCTATAGCATATCTTCATAGAAATTTATCCTCTTAACACCTCATCCACTGAGCAGTTACCTTAAAACATAATTTGGGAGAATCAGTTGCTGCCATTACTAATAGTGTGTCAGGCAGCTCCCCTCTGATTAGCAAAAGGAATGGTCCTCTAGACTGGAATTTAGTATTTCTGCATTTATCCTTATCCATAAAATTCACATAATAATCCTAAATCTCTTTTCTAAAGTGATTTGCAACCATGACACTTGTGAGAAGTGGCTGCATAGAAGTGAAAGTTTTATTAAATCTTATAGGAGACTAAAGTTCGCAGAGCTAGGCTACTCCTACATTAATATTTTACTCAGTGCTTTCCATACACCTGTGTTCAGGTCTGGGGTCCTCACCCTGAGAAAAATTTAGACCTGTTAGAACAGGTTCAGGGCAGGGCCATGAAGGTGATCCAAGGGCTGGAGCACCTCTCCTATGAGGAAAGGCTTAGAGAACTGGAGTTGTTGTTGAACAACTGGAGTTGTTCAGCCTGGAGAAGAGAAGGCTCCTTACACAAGCCTTCCAGTACCTGAAGGGCACCTAGAAGAGAGCTGGAGAGGGACTTTTTACAAAGGTATGTAGTGACAGGACAAGGCAGGGTGGCTTCAAACAGAAAGAGGGCAGGTCTAGATTAGGTACTAGGAAGAAATTCTGAACTGAGAGTTGTGAGGCACTAGAACAGGTTTTCCTGATCTAGTGGGTCTCCCATCCCTAGAAGTGTTCAAGGCCAGCTTGGATGGGGCTCTGAGCAACCTGATCTAAGTGGAAGGTGTCCCTGCCCATATCTGGGGGGTTGGAACTTGTCATCTTTAAGTTCCCTTCCAAACCAGGCCATTCTGTGATACTATGAGACACACACAAGATTAAAAGCAGATACTGCTTTCTATCAAACTATCAGCATGATCAAACAAAAGGCAGAGGAAAAGAAAACTAGATGGGACAAATGGGGTAAATTATTTCATGTGGATTTTTTTTTTTTTTTTTTGTAACAGCTCTTCACACAATTTGCCCTCCCATCCATGAAGGAGAAGTGTGCATTTGTGACACCTCTCTTGCCTGTGCCCAGTACAAAGGTGCTGACTGTGTGCTTGCTCTCACCTCATGTGTCTGATGTGAGAGAGGATGAGGAGGAGCTGAGCCAGTCGTCTGTGTTGCTGCTGCAGAGAAAGACCTGACTTAGCCATTAAGTGGATCAGAGTATCTGTGATTTTGTCCAGGACACGGTGAATATAGTCTTTCTCTTCCAGAGATTTCAAGGTGCTGGAAAGAAAAGTGTACACACCTAGAGTAGGAGGCAGAAAGAAAAGAAACAAACCACAGACAAAAATTACTTTGGTGGACTCAGGTATTGCCCAAGGTATGCCCTGCTGCCTCTTAAGCTGTGTTAAGCCACAGGATCTGACTGTGTGCCAGCTCTCTTGCTTTGTAGCCATGTTGCTGCTCTGAATGACCCTGGAGCATGGATTTGGGCACTATGGGAAAAGCAGGAGGAGGAAGACAATGCCACTTTCCTGCCTGGGTCTCACCAAGGTCTGTACCAGGTGCTGGCAGACACCTGCAGCTAGTCCTATCTGTGGGCTGTGCTCTTTTCCTGGTCACTTGGCTCTGAAACCTTGAGGAGATGCTGTTCCTCTTGAGAGCTCTGGAATACTTACCAATCAACCCAAGCTTTCAGCAGCTTTTGCCATTTCCCCTGTTGTTTAATATTTGATTTTTAGTGATTTTTCTAGACAATTTAGCACTGAATAATGTTACCACAAAACATGCAAACAAAACCAGGGTATTTTATGGATGTTTGCCTCAACAAAACTCTCCCAACCAAGCAAAAGCCTTGAAAGGTGTGCTCCTTCACCTGCAAAGCTGACTCTGCTTTAAAAACAGTGTCCAAATCAGCTTGTGCAAATTTAGCTGTCTTGAATAGCTTACTGCTGAAAGTGAGCAGCCTGAAGGTTTGGACCAGTTAAAAAATTTTCCAGAAGACAAAACACTTTAAAACTCCCTCTCCAGCAGCCCCTCTAAGTCACCTACGAGACTCTCTAATCCAGGCATAAGAGCTTTTGCTGCTAGTAAATCTTGAGAGCATGAAGCACATCAGCTTTCAAAATGGAAAAAAGTCTAAACTATTTTGGGCTGTTTTATCTTGATTTTTTTCTGGACAACAACACACAGCCAATGTGAATCAGGTCACAACAACACTGTGCTGCCAAAAGAGAGCTGTTGCATTCAGCATCAGTTTTTAAATCTTTTGGACTGAACCAATAACTAAACAAGTCATTTTGCCATAATCCAGTCCTGAGGAACCAGAAGTTTAAGATGTACATACAGGAATACAATCAAACTGGCTGCATCATAGAGTGTTCATTGTCCTGTGTCTATAACAGCCTTGACAAATCCTGGGCTTGGCCCTTCTGCATCAGCCTACAGAGAAAAGAAGAGATCTGGATTTTGTCCTTGGGAAAAAATGGTTTCTGGAATAATTTTTTGTTTTTCTTTTCTTTAAAGCATCGTATCTAGCAGAATGTGGAATGCAGTTAGTGCTATTAAGAATAAAAGACATTCAGACACTAGCATGCACACACAGACAGACATATATGCTATAGCTTGTCAGATATACATGGTATAGCTCTTTTTTTGTTGTTTGCAGCCTTGGGGCTACCACTGGATGTGAAGATACTTTGCTGTGCATCTGAGCAGTCAGGGAGCTGAGATTTTTTTAACATCTTGGCCTCCCTCATCTCCTCACATCATCTGGGTACTTCAAGGACCTGACACCTGGAACTACTGTAACCTACAAGTACTTTTTATGATTTTTTTTCTTCTCTGCTAAAAAGAAATGTAAATGTGTTTGTGAATGTGAGTGTCTCTGGGAAAGAGTAAGCAAGAAAACTGTTTTAAAAGGATAACTCCAACATAGTACAACTTCTGAAAATTATCAGAGTTCTTAATTTTGTTAATGGGTATTGCTTCAAATTTGATATAGATAGATAGTACAGTGGCCTCTTTTCTCACATGGCTTTTCATAGCTATTATTATTATTTTTACTGAAATTCACAAACAGAAACTGGTCCCTGGGCTTTTCTCAGCTGAACCTTTCTCAGCTGACTCTGAACACCCTCACATATGCCTATTGACAATACAAGGTTTGATAGCTTAACACATACCTGTAGGGGCAAGATTCTTAAATATCACTGGCAGAGCACAATCCACTAGAAGGAAATATTAATCTCATAAATGCACAGTGCCTCCAGAGGAGTTTACTTCAGCCACAGGAAACTATTGTGCTCTTGCAGCAATACCCCATAGCTTCATATTACTGAAACTAGTAAAAGAAAAGAATTTTTTAGGAGGAATTTTTTCTCATCTAGGTCTAGTCTAGAAGCTATTAAAAACTGTAAATCACAAAAGCACTCCCCAATAACTGTAGAGAATTCAGGCAAGTGCCAGTCAATAACTGCCAAGGCAAATTATGTTTAGTTTTCCTTTCTACACTCTCACAGTGATTTCTTGTGCCCCAGGCCATTGACCAGAGATTGTCCAAAAAAATTGCTGGCTATCACACACTCATACACATCCTAGCAGAGCTTTCAAATGAGGGTGCAGAAAATTGCCATAGCAAAGTGAAATTTAACAGTCTCCAAGGCCTTCTAAGCCTAAATTCAATAGCTACCAGGTAGATTTCCAGCTCTTTCTGTAGGTCAGTGTTGTAAAACCTAACAGGTGCAAGAATAGAGAAAGAACCACCCCACAAGCAAGCGAAGCCTGTTGGTCTACGCCCATAACGCATACCAGACCAGGATCCCTCCGGGGTGCAGTGCTACCATGCCAACCCTTGGCATACACTGATAGAATTTTATATCTCTCACCATATATAATTATATATTTGATGCATGTTACTGTAGAAGAGAATGTCCTCAAAATCTTTGCTGTCACAATAAACCCCAGTTTAAAGTATTTTTTTACATTTAGAGTTCAGGCTCACAGAACAACACCCAATTGCTCTGTAGTATTCCACTATACCCAATTGCTCTGAAGCTGCAGCAAGACAGGCTGAGGTAAGAGGAAATTCATCTCTGTACCATGCACTCCTGGAATCATCCAGCCCCCAAAATAAAGAAATAAATAAGCACAATTTATCAGGAATTGAAAAATACCAGGAGAAAAGAATAACAGTCACGTGGAACAATGTATCAGGAAGTCTCCTGTATTCATCAAATCAGCAAAATCTTTCCAGCTCTGTGGACTAACAGCTAACTAATTAGGTAAATCAGCTGATAAGGCAGATGTGACCTACATCTTCATGTCCAAAATGAAAGCCTTTGCTTTGCCACGTAGCACCACTCCTCTTCTCTGATACACTCAAAACTAAAACATCTGGCATCATGTTGCCCTTTCATGATTCCAATACTTATTTTCCAATGTTAAGTAACAGCTGAACGTGGTTTTCAAAAACACTACTTTGCTTTTTAGTCAAAAGATTTATTGCTGCAGCTTTAGAGGGGGACCTTTAGGTTTGCTATTTAGATGGACATAATTATGTTCCTTGTTGTTACAGACATGTTGTCACCTTAAAATCTCAGGAAAAATGTGGAAGCATCTACCTGGGTTTACAAACAAAACCTTCCATCCTTTCGACATGCACTGAGCAAATCTAATGCCTCTTAATTTGAGCATCTTGAGAGTCTGACAGTCAGAAACTTGCATCCACATTCCCACTGTCTAGTTATGAAATTAGTTTGTTGTAGGAATACAAATACTGAAATGCACCTTTATGCATAAAGATAATGGCATTCAATATAGACATACATTCTGTGGCCATATATACATTGAGTTTACAGTGGTCCCATCTCTCTTATGTGCAGAAGGAAATCTGCCTCTGATTATCACTGACTACACTTGCTACATATATATGCATTTTTTTAAAATTTTTTCTTTTTTTTAACAGTTTTTCCTTAGGGGAATCTTGTAATGAAAACATCCCATTAACACAGTGAGATGTTAATGGAGGATAGCTGGTAATGCCTGGCCGGGCTTTGTTGGAATAAAATATTTTGTTTTATGAATCAATACTACATAGGCACAAAATTTCTCTAGAGCGTGACTTACATTCTTGATGTTTAAGACATTTACATCTAATTTCTTTTATTCAAACTTCCAGTTCTATTTTTTCTAATTGAAATTCAAAATTTTTATAAGTCAATTACATATTCTAGATTTATTTAAGTTAATTATATTTGAATATATTAGCTAAAATTCTGGAGAAGCATTCTTTTCCAGGAAGAATATTTAACTCTAGGAAAAATTCTGTTATAATTATCAGGGCAATAAAAGGAAAATAAAATGTCAAACAATAATTACAAATGTGACATCCTGGCAATTAAGGTAAGAACAATAGCCCTTCATTCCTAATATGCCACTTGCTTTCCTCAAATGTTACTTTTTGGCAATTGGTTACAACCACAACAAAACCTGAACCACATTCATATCTCATAGAACATACATAAAGCATTTTGTATTAGATTGTATAAATACATAATTTTGCTTGACTTTGAGGAGACAACATCCAAGCTTCCATAAAGAAAGGTGCCTGATCAATAAAGCAACATCTGCTGTGTTTACAGTTAGCCTTTGATGTCAATATCCTAAATTTCTTTTTCCTCCAATTTGGGCAAGTGATCTGTTAGACAACTGGATAAAACGGAAACAGAGCTCTCCACATCTGTTTTCTCTAGAGGGTGGTACCATCCACAAGTTCAAAGGCAACAGGAAAAACTTTACAAGTGAGTAAATCCTCAGTACTGGGAAACTCTGACATCTTTACTCACCAGGTAACAGCCTAGCAGGGAATTTTCTCTAAAATTTTTTAGTTTGGTCCCTACATTATTATTTTAGATGTCTATCATTTCTATGAGAATACCATGGGTCTCATTTCTGCATATAAAACCAAATTTTCTGGGGGTTTTTGTTTTGTTTGGACAGAAAAGAGTCCTCTGGTGTGCAACAGAAGTTTTCTGTCACAAGTTTCAAGTTAAATTTGCTTTTTCAGTCATCTCATGTAAAATTCAAATCATCATAACCTTACACTTGTTATTGAGTCATCTATTTTTGAAGTGTACCTCAGGATGAGATTTACAGCCAAACACTATAAAGGAAGTGGAAAGTGATTACATTAGTTTTAGATGCCTATAATATAATATAAACTAAACCATGATAAATTCAATCACATTTTTGCCCTTATTTCCTTTTATTTTGCCATCACCTGAGCTCTGCAGTTAAGCATTGCCTTTGAGTGCCATGTGTGTGGTTCCAGCTACTTCAGTGTCTTGTAAGCAGAGTTTTAAGACCTGGCAACATCTAGTTCAAAGCACTCCTCTGACCACTCTCCACATCAGCTGCACACAATGTGTCATCTACTCACTGCATCCTTTTTCTGGGTCTCATCTACATCACCAGACAGATTCAGCTGCGCCCACCCCTGCCTGGAGGTCCTGCCTGCATCTGTGTTGAAAACCCCTTTCCATTGCTGCTGTCTCAAAATGAAAACGCCACTAAGGACAGCAAGCAGTGTTCAACCATATGCAGAAGCAGCCACAATTACCCAAGTGACAGCAAAGCACACAACTTACCAGAATTGAGCAGGATGATGGACTTAAGGCACACGAATTCCTCCCCTTGAAGGTTCATCATGCGAAACCGAGCAGCAGTAGCCAGCAGCATGTCAAAAATTTCCACCATGCCCTCTACACATTTCCCTTGATTCCTGTGTGAATACCATCAATGGGGAGACATTCAGTTTTAACCTGATGGTACCATGAGTTTTTCATCCCCTTGGACCAATACCCTTCAATTTGATTTCATCAGCTCATGAGCAAGTATGTGACTTCCTACTCTGGACACACTTGATATATGTGTGATTACAAAAGCACTGTTCTCAGTGTTCCAAGTAAAATAAATAAATTACTGTATTTCCAAAAAAAAAAAATCCGTTTCAGGAACTCATCACATTACTGTGGTGGAACATTTTAAATTGACTCAACCAAATCCTTATATTTGAGGAAAAGATTTGTTTAAAACTACATTTTGATTTGTGTGTATGTGTTCTGCTTTTGTTACTTTGCTTCCTCCTTCTTTTCTTTTTTTCTCTTTAATGTAAGTTCTTTACATTTCTCCCTCCCTAACCATTTGCACTTGTTTCTAGCTGCCCGAGCAACCTTTAATGTTCCAACACACTTCTCTCGATGTTCAATGGCAACATAATCTCTCCTTAAACAAGCTTATTCATGAGCTCAAGAAGGACTTAAGAGTCCAAAATCATGTCTGTATGACTGATTAAAACTATCAGATCACTCCATATATCGCGTAACTTTTTACATTGCAGCATTAAACAAAGCTGAAGTTTGGAACATCTCGAAGTGTTCATTAGTAATGGCAATTAACCATCTCCTTCTACTCACAGTGCAAGGCATTCCCACTCACTAATTCTCATCTTGCCCACTCAACCTGCAGCTGGAGAATTAATGCAGATTGTAATTATTTCTTGTGAAAATTTAGTCTGCAGATCTTTTGGTCATTTTCATTGCTACCCTTTACAAGAACTACCTACTTTTACTTCTATTAGGCCTTCCCGAGTGAAATTTTAATATGTAAGACTTAATGAATGATCCAATCTGCTCTTTGGAAATATAATACTTTTTAGATATGACTTTCATCAACAAAATTAAGAAGATAATTGCTACAGGAAAATGCACAAGAAATTTCAAATGAACAGACTATGATTTATAACTTGAAAAAGATTGAGCATGTCCTAATTTCACTGTCACAAGAAACCTGCCCGGACAGAGATACCTGCCTCAGGTCTGAACACAGATGTGCTGTTGAGAACCTCTAGCTGATGTCTGAACACCAGAGCCTCAGACAAAGAAGAAATCTTCCCTTCTGATTGCAGACTGAGAAACCTCTTTGCACTTTCCAAGCCATCAGGACAAGTTTCAATGCTTCTGATACAATATATTTGCCCACAACTATAGAAAGATTAATTTCCTCTCTGTAGAGTTTAGCACAGAGGACTAGAATCCTTTAATAGTTTTGCATACTTAAATAATGCCCAAAAAAAAGTTTGTTTAAGAATTTAGTATTTCAGGATTTTGCAGAAAGAAAAAGCTTCTGTGGATAAAAAAAAATGACCCATATTAAAAAAATCCCCACATTTTCATGCCTGATTGAGATATTTATTTCGTTCCTAGAATCCACAAAACTACTGCAGCCAGCATTCAAAGCTTTTCAAAATATTACACAGTCTGAACAAATTGCAAAATTTGCATGTCTACCATCAGAGGAAAAAAAAGAAACAGGAAGTTATTTGTAAAATCAGACTATTTAACATGACTTATGGTGCCTGCTGAGACGGACATTTTGATAGCAAGTAAGAATTATTCCCAACCTCCTAGAAAAATAGTTGAATAGGCTTCAGTTTACATAATCAGTATGCCAATCATGATTCTCTGGCTGACAAGTATGACCTCTGGACAAAAACCCCTAATCCAGCAACACATATTCCATGTGCTTAAACCAACATGTGCGCCTCTTTCCCATCAACTGAACTAGCATGATACAGGATTAATAAAAATTATGTAAATTTAAGAGATTCTAAATTTTTCCTAATCTCTTTTGTTTTGCTATCTGCTGTGTGTGTGAAAGACCAGGCTACTCCATAAGAAGAAGAAAAAAAAAAACAAAAACAGAGTAGAGTACCTCTTTAGGTAATGTACTTTAGGTGAAGTTATATACCCAGCCTTAGGTATTCACAAGTGCATGGAATGGACTAGAAATTTCTGCTTTATTTTCAGAGGTAGGAAGCAGATCCAACTCTATTGACATCAATGGGAACTGCAGGAGCTAAGTATCTTTGCTATATCGGGTTCTATTAAATTTTTTACTATTCTTTAGGCTACAACAATTATTTTATTTGTGAATCAACAAGAAACTATCTGGAACTGGAATCTCCAGTTCTCCTGAATTGCCTTCTAACTTTCTAACATAAGCTGATAATACCATCACATCTTCACAGTTATGTGTTCAGTTGATAGGGAGGCCTATCTGGGAAAGCCTAGAGAACTTTCCTGAAGGACAAATTAGCAATAGATTCAACAATTATCTTTATCCTAGCATCTTGGTGTTGTCTTTGTGTACTCTCATCTTACTGAAGAGAAGACAACAAAAGCTTGTTTACTGCACTCAGAAGAATCCTTTAAATTTGGCTATTGGGGAACGTTTAGGAAAGTTAAATCATTTGAATTAAAGGTCTTAAGTGGCTGCAAAAAAGTACTGTGTGTATTAACTTTAGTAGGTCTATAGAATCACAGCAGCATCCAGGCCAGAGGGCAATTCAGAATGACTTTAGTCCAGCCTCCCTCTCAAAGTGGTGTCAGTTCACTCAAGGCTTTATGCAATGCTGGTCTTGAAAATCTCCAAGGATGGAGACTGCACAACCTCTCTCAGCTTAATTACTTTCATCATCATGTTTTCTGCCTCCCCTACATCCAGTCAAAACCTTCTCTGCTTCATTTTATTACTCCCATTTCTCAATCTCCCATCAGGCATTTTAATAAAGAGCCTTGATAACCTCCTTGTAGACTGTAGGTTATGCAGACTTAAAAGCCCTTTCTCCTCTAGGCCAAACAAATCCATTTCTTCCAGCCACAAGGCATGAGGTCTGGCCTTGGTGGCTCTCCACTATGTTTACTGATGTTTATTAATATATTTCCTGTAATAACTGGATTTGATATTCCAGATAATGAGTGCCACATAAAAGGAGGATAATGGCTTTCCTCCCTTTAATGCCTACACTACCAGTGATAGTGGTATCAGTACCAGGGCTATTCCACTGTATTGTAGGAATAAGAATCTAAATTTTATTCAAGTCTTGGGAAAAACCTAGGCAGCAGGAATGCCTTTAACAGAAACACAAGATCAAGTAAAAATTAATAATGAAGGGTGCTTGGATGAAGAGAACAGGGACTCAAGGATTCAATGGATGTTCTCATCAAACTTTTAATTCAAAGGGAAATGCTAAAGACAGATGCACCACCAAAACAAAGTCTGACTCTGTTATATCTCTGTCTTCCTCTACCATGGTACTTCACTTGATGAAAAGGGACTGCCAAGAACAGATGGGATGTACAAGGCCAGGACAGGGAATATCAGCTTCAAAAGTAGACCTAGTAACTTCATGATGAAGCCTCTAAATAAGGCTTGGATGTGTTCATAAGCCTAAAGGTAGGTTAGGAAACAGGGGAGAGGAAAACTGCAAGGATAGCATTCACATTCCCAGTTAGAAAGGAGGGCATTCACAGATTTAACTCAAATGCCCATGCTCTGACACAGGAGAACAGTAAGTCTGTGCACAGACTTCCAAACAAGAGAGGATCTTTATATACATTAATGTATTCTAAATAAACTCGTTCTATTAATAGACGTTGGTAGAAGCTTTCTACTCCTATGTGAATCAATGCACTAAAACAGCTTAAGGAGGTGGGATGTCAGGAAAGCTCCATCTGCAAGGATTTAAGACCAAATCAAGAACATCTACTTGGATGCCTTAAATACTGCCAGACAGGTATTACAGGGCTATTTAACTAACAGAGGATTCCACCTTTTCTCAATGCTGTGCCTTATCAGTCATTAAAAGATGAGAAAATTGTTATCAGCAGAGAAATTTTACTTCAGGCCATCCTGCATTTAATCAGTAACACCAAGGGATTGTGGAAAAAGTTTGGGGAAAAGTAAGCAGAAAAAAAATTTTAAAAATTAAAATTAAAAAAAAAAGTAATTAGATTAAAAATTAATATCTACTTTTCAAGAAATAACCCCAAAGCTCTAGAACAAAAAACAATCTGAAAAGAACAGGAATCAAAGAGGAAAGCAGAAACTACCAAGTGTAAACTAAATCAAAGTGTCAGATGTGAATCCTGCTGATAAAGAGAAATGCTTATTATTCTGTCATTATCCAGGAGGTTAGATATCATTTTGCTTTGGAAAAAATGTTGTTTTGATCACATCAAGCTAGCTTGCACCTTCACACAAATCAAACAATAAGTGGTAGGTGATCATGAAGGTGTGAGCTATGGAAAGGGACAAATTAATTATATGCAGGTCTTGTTCTATAGTTCAGTTTTGTTGTTTTCCATGTGGTTTTTGGTTTGGGGATTAGGGGATTTTTTAATTGACTTGTTCATAAGCCTACAGAGGTAGCAACATCTTTTGCTCATCCCATTTCTCCCTGAATACTGGTTTTCAATTAACACACCCTGGGGAACTTCACAGACTACAGTCAATGGCTGGTATTATAGCCTGTTCTTCCAGAGCGTGCTGTTAAGAGTCCATTGTTTCTTATTCAATATCAGCTTAAGAACAAAGATTTGGGTCAATTGCTGGCTAAAACATATTCAAAATTTATAAAATTAGTCCAGTATTTAGAAGTCATCATTGCAAAATATATGCAATAAATATGAAGTAGCACATTTATCAATAAAAAAGAGAAAAAATATATATCCATTTTGAAGTTATTTTCACCTAAAGTTAGTCACAGATTACCAGAGCTGCTGATGTTGCATGAATTATCTGGAAATAATCTAGTTCAGTGGCCCTGCTCAAGCCTATATATTGCTGGGTTTTCAGTATCTCCAAGGACTGAGACTCCAAAACCTCTTGTCCTGTCACTGAGAAGAATCTTCCACTGCCTTCTTTACTTCCCCTCTCCAT